GACTTGTCGTCGTCGTCGTCGTCGTCGTCGTCGTCGTCGCTCTTTCCCGATAAAAGCTGGCAACTAAAAGTCAGATTTATTTTTTTTTATAGCCGCTCTAGATAAACTCCCTCGCGGAATGGCATTCGCGGAAATTTAATTACTTACCGCCGGGCAGATTAACGCCGATGCGAAATCTAGATAATGTATTTAGGAAAAGTTGATATCTCTCACGCCGCCGGGAGTGAAAGAAGGAGAGCGACGCGAAATGCGCGCGATCATAATTAAGGACGAAATGACGGCGCCATTTCCCTTATTATTTCCAGTTGGCAGGTCGGCGGTCACAATTATATTCGAAGAGCCCTTGTTAGGAGAATATGGGAAAATTGTCCGACTTAATTTTATAAGTATTTCATAGTTATTATGCGTAATTGATTCATTTTCCTTCGCCCGAGACGTTTTTCATTTCGCGTTTTTCAAGCGACAGTCGTGCGGGAATGTAGTTTTTTTTTCTTTTTTTACAAAAAAAAAGAAGAGCTTGCGATTATCTGCATGACATCGCATAAAAGGCTCGCAGGAAAAAAACTTCATTTAGCTCAGTGTGGTCGTTTCTCAACACGCACGAGCGAGTATGCGCGAACGTGTGCACGCCGATGTACAGGTAATCATTTTATCTGTCCATTCGCAGAGAGAGAGAGAGAGAAAGAAAGAAAGAAAGAGAGAGTTAATACAATTTTTTGAGGAAATCCACGTCATTAGGTCGTTTTGTCCTCTGCAGATCTTGACTGACTGCTCGCTATTATCTTGGGAGACAAAAAAGTTACTGATGACAAAAGTTACTGATGACACAAAGATCTCACGAATTGTACCGGACAGGAAAGCGAGAGAGAAATGCTCTGCTTCTTTCGTGTTTTATTATTTTCCGCATTCTCTGGCTTTTAATCGACCGGGGGGCCAATCTGTGAGATTTTTTGTTTCGCCGAATATACCGAATAATTGGATGTGCTGCCGGTGGTTGTTATCTTCGATAACGAATCCGAGATTTTTTCAAGAACAATCGCTTAATTGTTTAATTGTGAAAAAAAAAAAAAAAATTGCAATCGAGAAAGTAAACAGAGACACGAATAGATAAATAGTCGAGAAACGTTTTGTTATCGTTTTGGACACGGGCACTTTTACTTTCAAATTGCATCCGATTTTCATTTCCACGCTGCAGCAATGAGGAACAGATACATCATGTCGTATCGGAGGAAGCCATCAATGCTGGAACCAGGAAGCCGTCCAAAGTTCTCTAACGATGATATATCGGGGTAGCGCAGGACCCCTAAGTTGTGGCCATTTTGATATGGTGTGGTAACGTACTCCTTACCCCCATCCTTTCACACACACACACACACACACGCGCGCGCACACACTCTTTCTTGCGCCATCCTCGCCAGAAGAGAGAGAGAGAGGCATTAAGCTCTTTCCAACCCCTTGGAGTTGCCGTTACGGTGACCGTGACAGATCGCCCGTCATAATCCCGCGCCATGAAAAACATATCGGCGATCGGAACGGCCGTTCAAAAGTAGTGCATCCCATTTTTCGACATCCCAAATGCCCGCTGTACATTACTTTCTTGAGATAACATGCGAGATCTTTGCGATAAAGCTCTCGAGTGTGACGGATCTATTCATCACGACATAATAGCGAGAGGACATTAATATTCTCTCACAGCGCTCCATATCGAAGGAGTGATAGCTAACAACTTTTTTTTTTACCGCGTAATTTACAGTAAAATTTTAAGCGTTAGTTGGGTGAACGAATTTTTTTGTTATATTCCGCGACACGTTCGACGGGAGAAAAAAAATTTGAATCAACTTGCCGTAACAATTTTTAAAAGATATCGTTACACTGTGTATTTTATAAATACACTTTTTGTTATTATTTTATCTCGCATTAAAGCTTAAAAAACAATGATGTTGATTTTTGTATGGGAAAAATCGAGTTCCAATCTGCCGGTCTAAAGTCTCGGCGCGCGGCAATTTTCACAAAATTGCGCGATGGTAGGTCAACGGCGAGCTGTCAGGATCGGTTTTGGTTTTCGCGCTGCGCTCGTCTATGCTTTCGCAGAGGAGCACTTTTCGTACGGTGATTTGCGACACTCTATCTCCGGCGCCCTTTTACGCTGTCGCTCTTAGTTGGCGGAAATGCATGGCGCATTACAATTCATCTCCGACTTCATCGCCGTCGGTCGACAGGAATTTGCTGCGTAACGTCTTTCAGCTCCCCGACCGTTTAATCCGTAATGGAACAAAACATCGCGCGCCACCAGGTATTCCGCTCATATTTCCCTTCGCTCTTTCACGTTAATGAAGCGCGATGTACCAACAACATTTTTCTAATTATTTTCATCATGGTCAATTATGACTGACATTAAGCGGAGAAAAAAAAATACGGAATATTATAAAGATTACTTACTGTGCAAAAAACTTGGTAGAAAAAAATTCCATTTTTTAAAGTTTATGCGCGAGAGATTATTTTACGCGTTAATAATGCAAATATGAAACTTATATATATATATATATATAATACGATCAGATAGAAAAAAAAAATTAGCGTAATGTTTATCTCGTTTCTAAAAATATCTGAAAATGTTTTTGTTATTGCAACGATACATCATTAATCTATTTGATTACTGATCTGTAAATGTATTTCGTGAGAGAGACGTGACGAGATATATAACGAGCGATAACGCAGCGTAGATAAATTTATAGTTCGTAGAGAATTTGCCGATAAACGATGTAATTCCCGAGAAAATCACAGTACCGAGACTAATTTACGATTTTACCTTGTTAAAAGAGAGGACGGCCTCCCATTTCGGTTGCGTCCCCGGTGTAATTAAATTTAAGAGAGTTAACTGTTTCGTACTATGTGCCTGGCCGTGCGACGACGAAATGCACTTGCCTCCGTGTAAACGTATAAAACGTGTCCACGTGCGTGTCCCGGCACGCACATCCCAAAAGTTCGCAATTTAACATCGTACAAAAGGGACAACCCACTTATGACGAAGCGCGACAGCGCTCAGGCTTCGTGAGTCTGTTTTTGAGAACGCGTGTGCGAATTGATGCGTTTTTATTCTTTCTTTTTCGGGATGACACCGCTCCAAACATTTCTCGAATTTATGTGCGTGACGAAAAACATTACTTCTTGTGAAGGGCTTATAAGTCAAGTGAATATCGCAGTAATTTTGTTTACGGTCGACTTTGTATCTTGTTTCTCTGTCGTAAGTTTGAGTCCGAATTTATCGGGGAAAAAAAAAGTAAATTTAAAAATAAATTTTAAAAAGTTTTAAAAATATATTATAATTGTTATTTTTGAGAAATATAAATATATTTCAATATATTATTCATATAATTTTTAATATATATGTGTATATATTATATAATATTTCAATGTTGCACTTTTAGATATTTAAATAATTTAATACATTAAATAAAAATAAATATAATACGTTAACGGTTTTATATATTTGCATAATGTAATGTATCTCTTTTATTATTTTAATTATAATACGTTAATAGTTTTACATTTGCATAATGTATCTTTTATTATTTTAATTAAGAATAAAAAGTTTTACATATGTGTGACATGTTGTCGTGCGCGCGTTTTACATTATATAATTGTATTAGTGCTAATTGTACATAAAGCAAGCTATTTGGGCAGATGCGAGCAAAAAACTACAAGATGTCCGCGTGTGTTTTTTGCTCGCATCTGCCTAACCACTTTGTTTCATCATCTAACGAGTTTATTCAATTGTTAATTGTACATACATACACTTTTGGCATTGCTAGCAAACACTAATCCAATACCTGTAGCGCCATCTCATAATCGAAGTATAAGATAAGATACATACATCTCATTTTCATCTGTGGATTAGATAAACTTCTTGCCTCATGTGGTATAAGTATCATACAATGGTCTAAATACAAATATCGTAAGAAATTCATGCGAGAAATTGTAACGACAGAGATTTTACACACGATCGACCTATGACCGACACGTGGGTGAACAATGACGGCACACAGATGATCGACAGCTAAAATCGTGTCTTGCGAGTTTGGAGCAGGCAGTTGAATCCAATGCTCCGAAGTGAGAAGTCGACTAATTTGTTAGTTATCGAGACTACAATATTCGATATAGTACATTTGGCTCGAAACAGATATTATTCACACTAATATAAAATTTTACAAAAGAACTAAACAAATAACGTGTGGTTCTTTTTGAAACTGATTTGGAGCTTAGTTATCTCGGCTTCCGTCAGAATACTACACGGATTTCTCACAGTATTTATAATATATTAACGTAAAAACTGTGTGTGAGAGAGAGAGAGAAGAAAACACATCCCAAAACATCAAACACAAATAAACAACTAAATTTATACACATAAAATTATTTATACACATAAAAAATGGCTTTTTTTCTACTACCTTTAAAAGTACATATAAATATAACATATATGTTTTTGTATTTTATTTGAAATAAGTAATAATAACAAATTAGTCTATCAAATTAATCTATGTGCCTGTACAGATTAATACAGGATGGTCTAATACAAGATGTCATAAACAGAAGAACTTAAGAAAAGAGACAGCAAAATCTTATCTATTTATGTACAATTTCTGAATATGTATATATGTATATTATATACATATATATGTGTATACATATATACACACACGCGCGCGCGCGCGCGCGCGCGTTTATTATTGTATATTATACTTAATATACTTAATCCTTTTTGGTTGCGTCATGTGATGGTTTTATTTTTTTTATTTTTTTTTGTATAATAAAACTTCTATGTATCTTATCTTTGTTATGGAATTTCTTCACTTTTCTATTTTAAGTATGTGATATTCGCAGCCACAGGGTTAATAATTGTAACGTAATAAAAAAAGATCAAAAGAAACATTCTAACACGAATTAGAACATCGAAAACATATCATGGTAACATATACTCGCTTTTAAAAAGCACACAAATATAAAAATATTAATCTTTTATATAATGTTACATTGTGTACAGATCTTATATACTTAGACATTAAAGACAATCCGGAAATCAGTGTTTATATACGAGCTATAATATTTAGTCACACGGCTCGTTTCAAATATTTCGGAATATTGTGCACGTTTCTCACGTGTCATACTGGAATGTTCGTTTAAATAATGTAAGAATATAATAAATAAGAGACTTTTTCTCGTAGGACATTTGTAATGGCAGTATGTAATAATTTACTACTTTAGGAAGAAAAAAAATATATGCTCTATTGTGCAGATAATTGTCGCTAAAATTATTCTAAATAAGCAGCCAGGAATTTGCAAAATGCTATTGTAATAATGCGGGTAGGTGTGATCCATTAGTATTATCCAGCTGGATAATACTACGTTTCTATTTTCATTGGGGACCATCTAATCAGACAGTCGTCAAGATTCATTATGCGGGATTGTCAGTTGATTTGTTAGTTATAGGATAGTCAAAGCAAATCGTCGTTAAGAAATCCGCGGCGTATTTTCGCTCTTGCTGTGTTGTTTTTAGCCATTGCTTGTGTTCGCACAAATAAGGATATAAAGGTACTACTAACACACTGATATCGTCCACCGACGCTATTGGTGAGGATTTCTCGTCTGTTTCGTTAGGATTCTCGGGTTTTCCCATCCACACTCTACCGATTAATCGTCCTCTTGCCGCTTGCACCAATTCTTGAGCACCCATTGTTAGTCTACGAATAAACGAACACGTTGTATTATACTTTTAATATTATAATTAGTAAAATCGGTTATTTTTTCGTTATTTTTTTTTTAAATGTATTTTGTGATATAAAACCTGTATTCTAATGATGGTGTGTCCGGCGCAAGTGTCTTCCTAAGTATTGTTGCCGCTACTTTTTCCGAGACTACATCCCATAGCCCGTCCGTGGCGACAACAATGCAGTCTCTTTCAGTTAGATTACAACTGTCCAAGTCCAGAGACTGTACTTCAGGTTGTGATGAAAGGAACGGTTTGATACTAACACCTGTATTTGCTGCTTTCAAACCGTGATCCCCAAAGCCTCTGGTCACACCTATTGTTCCCATTACTCTGCTCTACATATCGCAGACAAATTCTCAGTTATGATATTATAAACCAGAAAATTATATTATAATTAAAATTCTTAATAGTAATTATACCCTTTTCCCATGTCCCGAAATGAGCGGTAATTTTAAGTCTGGATGCGTTAAAGTTTTATATGCCCAACCCGTCATAAACGGTTCTCTATACAAAACCATAGATCCCAGTTCTTTCTGCAGTGGTCGTTTTCTAAACTCCAATGGAGTGAACTGACCCTTGAGCAATTCGTTGCTTCTTAAGAAGCCTAACGCTCTGACGCGATTCGATTCGGAGTCCGGGGTATGATCTCTGGTAAGAGCACGTTCTTCTTCACCGACAACCAATACTGCCCTAATTGTTTAGAAAGTTACGTCAAAGTTACTTTCAAGTTTATCCTGACTACACACACGTTGTGTACAAGTTATAACAAAACCTGGAATCTCCAGCTCCTGCAGCATATAATCTTCCATTGAGGAACAGAATTGTAATAGCTGTACAACCACCACCACCATTTTGAGCCTGCATCTCTACCATTTGATCCATTTGTCTGTACGCTAATTCTATAGCACCTATCACCAGGTCTCTGCCCTTTATAAGCTCGTTCTCATCTTCATTGAGCAGCATGTTGCCTGGGATAGCTAGTAATCTTTCCTGTTAAAAGTAACAATTTATACTGATGTGTGTCATGTACAGTTTGGTTATGTGATTGTAATTTGTTTGAAGCTATAACATACAAGAATTATCCTATGTAAATGTAGCCTTGCTGTAAGAGCCACTTGATACCCTGCATGACCGTCAAACATAGAAAACATCACGTAAGGCAATGTGACATTGATATCTGATAATTTTAAATCTCCTCGCGTTGCAGAGGCTTGATCCTCATTCCAAGTGCTCTTTCCAGCATTGATACATTCTGCGTAACCAGCGCACCATGGCAAACGGCTCAAATCTCTTGGAACTATTATAGGCCTTACTCTGTGATCTGCACTCACCTGTACAAGCACAATTAACATTTTGTTCTTACAGATAACAAGTTCTAGATACAAAAAAGTAAATATTAATATGTTAATACTTAAACTATAAATCACTTAAATATGATTTCTATGAGAATAATAAGAAATACCTGTGTCTCTTCAGCAGTCAAGCCTAGAAAACTTGGACGGCTGTAAGGTTTATTCTCTACTTCCACAACATAATTAGAATTAATATAATCTGTCATATCATTGTCTGAATCATTAGGATACTGTAGGCCAAGTTCGCTTGCGCCTACAGCACTCATTAATACTGACTTGAAACGGTTCAACATTTTTGTCTCTTCTCTTTTAACTTGTACAGGATTATACAAAATTTGTTTTTTTTTTTTTTTTTGATAAATAATGTTACATAGTATACTTATTTTGTATATTATTAAGGTGTCATAGCCGGTTTTACATGTAGCCACGTATACAAATTTAAGAGCAAATTGAATTATTGGATTTCTGCTTTTCTTCACTGGGGAGACTTGGTTATCTGTCTAGTGCAATCGATAGATTAGAAAGCTGTTTAAGATAATATGCTAATTCCCTGCAATAGAACATTCTTATCTTATCAATACGTTGATACTCACTGCAAAAGAAGATTCAGCAATTATTTAAGATTAATGTCATCTTGTTGACAAATAGCTGTCAACAACGCATGTTATACTGTAACACAAGCATCAACATATTTAATTCGCGACATCACTAACATTGGGTGTGTTTAGCCGAAGCTAGCGCTACGTAGCGCTACGTAGCGGCTTCATGTAGCAGTTGCAATTGCTGCGTTACTTCTGCTGGACAGTATTGCTTACGCGCAGCGCTTTTTGTAAGCGCAAATATGTTTGTATACAAATCGCCGTTGTATTCTTCGGTTNGTATTATTGTAAATGGCGGCCACTACTTAGAACATGCTACGCGTAGCCATACTGTCCAGCAGAAGTAACGCAGCAATTGCAACTGCTACATGAAGCCGCTACGTAGCGCTACGTAGCGCTAGCTTCGGCTAAACACACCCATTGGCCACGTTCAGCAGAACAAACTGCTTTGTAGCAATTGAATGTGATTGGCTTTTACTTTTAGAACCAACGCGGCCATTTAAAGCCATTGCACACAAAATGACATACAGTCGAACCACCCAAAACGTATACTTCCCCTATTCACTCACTCTTTATCTCACGCTTGCGCAAAGACTTAAGGGCCTTCTACAATAAGATATTATTAATAAATCAGAAGTCAGAAGCAAGAAATTGACTAATCACAATCGATTATTCTTCTGTGATTTGACTGTGATTGGTCAATTTCTTGCTTCTGACTTCTGACTTATTACTAATATCTCGTTGTAGAAGGCCCTTTAAAGACTGCTGAACGCAGCCATTTTATATATATATAAGGTTTGTTCTTTTTCCATACTTTGGCTGCACTAGTTCACAGTCTATCTTTTTCCTTTTAATATAGATAAAAAAAAGATAGACTGTGAACTAGTGCAGCCAAAGTATGGAAAAAGAACAAACTACAATGAGCAATAGCGCAGATAACGCGCTCTTTGCAATACAGTTGAGTTTGGTAACCCTGCGTACAAATCGCGTGTTTAGTAAACAAGAACTTCACATTTTTGTTAAGTAATATCGAGTAATCATAATTGTTTATTCACAATGTTCGAGGCGCACACTATCAATGCAGAGCACAAAGATCTTATACACGATATCGCTTATGATTACTATGGAGAACGAATGGCAACGTGTTCCAGTGATCATTTTGTTAAGGTGAGGTGACGCGAAAAGATAACATTTATAACCGTGTTTCTTCTTGTTTATTCATTGACTTTTTTTCATCGTTTCTTTTATAAATATAAATGCAATGTAATTTCAACTTTGATTTTATAATTGTACTTATAAGGTATTATATTTATATCTGCATAAAACAGGTGTGGGATGAAGACGAACATGGAAATTGGCACTTGACTGCTTCTTGGAAGGCACATAGTGGCTCGGTATGGAAGGTCACATGGGCGCATCCAGAATGTGGCCAAGTTCTTGCTACATGTTCCTTTGATCGGACTGCTGCTGTTTGGGAGGAAATCGGTATAATTATACACACTTGTTTGGACTCTAATTAGTTCGATAATATTGTTGTGTTAATTCACATGTCTTTGTTCTTGACAGTTGGTGAAGGCTCTGGACCAGAAGCTCGTGGTAGCAAGCACTGGATTAAAAGAACAACTTTAGTAGATTCTCGTACTTCAGTCACAGATGTAAAGTTTGCACCAAAGACTTTAGGTCTTTTACTGGCCACTTGTAGCGCAGATGGCTATATTCGAATATACGAAGCACCTGATATTATGAATTTGAGTCAATGGACTCTGCAACACGATATCAATTGCAAGCTTTCGTGTAGTAGTCTTTCTTGGAATCCATCGCTTTCAAGGTAAAAATCCTTATATTTAATTCTAAAACTTTTTACTGCGATATAACATAAGATACTTGAATATTGTATTCTTATTATGTGGAATAAAAATTTTAGGTTACATCCGCCTATGATAGCAGTTGGTAGCGACGATCCCAATCCATCACTCGGAGCAAAGGTGTTCATTTACGAATTTTCTGAGAGCAGTAGACGCTGGGTTAAAGTCGAGGCGTTATCGTCTGTTCTAGACGCCGTTTATGACATTGCGTTTGCTCCCAATTTGGGCAGAAATTTTCACACTTTAGCCATAGCCACAAAAGACGTACGAATAATTACTCTGAAGCCGACGCAGTAAGCATACTACATGTCAAAGCTATGTGGAAACTGTATATATCAGGACGTAAACATTTATTATTCTTTTTATCGTAGGGAAAGTACGCAAACCGGTGTTTCCCATTTCGAAATAAACACAGTTGCGCAATTCGACGATCATTATTGTACTGTCTGGCGTGTTAGTTGGAACTTTATGGGAACGATTTTAGCAAGTGCCGGCGACGATGGTTGCATCCGTTTGTGGAAGGATAATTATATTAATGAGTGGAAGTGCGTCTCCGTTCTTAAAGGGGACGGCGCACCCGCGCAGAACACCGAGACTCCCGTTCTGGCAACTCCACCGAGTTCGTCCACACCGGCGCAACAAGCGCCGTCTACCACCAGGTACTACAAATTGGGTACCATCAGTCATCCAAACCAAGTACCTTGGCATTAGAAGAACTCACGTTTTCTAAAAAAAGCAGCCAATTGCTAGCTATTTTAGTATCGTGTCATTCTTTGTCAAATGGAAGATCCAAAGTATAAGATATTTTTTGTTCCGATAAAAAATTTATTATAGTTATTTGTGTTCTTTTCACAACAAAGTATACTCATCATCTTATTATTTGTATACTTTAGGTAAGCATTTGCGCACTTTTACTACTGAATTTTTTTGAAACTACTTACACGTAGTTTTTGATTGTTTAACTAATACCTCTCATACTCTATATATCACATGTAATGTCCTACCTACACTTTTGTTTATAATCGTTGATTTGTGAGAACGAACTCTTGTTTTTATATTAAAATCCTCAAATGTCGTCTCAAATGTATTATGTTATTGTCAACTAGAATTTTAAAACCTTGTCACAAGAGGTTTTTAAAACGCTCTTCCAGTAAGTTTAGTGACAAAACAATAAACTGTGTGAGATGTACAAACGATTTTTGAAGATTTGGGCGGAGGATATGAGTGTTATCGGTGTTATTTGTCAAACTCAATTGACAACTTTGGTAATCAAAATTGGATAAAGTATTTTTCAAAATTTATAAATTTATTATGAAGTATGAATGGTGTTTAAGAGACCTGTACATTTTTTTTATTAATAAACGTTGTTTCTGCATAATAAGTACCTTTTCATTTTCTCCTCCCTTGTTCTGTCAAATCTTGATTATAATTTGCATCATCACGAAGTTTTTTTTTTTTTATAGAACATGTGATTTGTTCTTGATTATTCAGTTGTCACAATGCACAAGCGATTTTTACTTCAATTTATTAAAGCAAGGATCTTAAAGAGACCGTGCTAGCAATGCATAATGCGTTTCTCATTTGTACAAGTAAATCAAATTAATTTTTGTTGCCATTTTCAGGGCCGTAAGTATAGCAACGATCGCGGCAGAGAAACCGGCTACTAACGTCGTAAGCAGTAATAAGTGGCAACCTCCCGTTATAAAGGGCCGCTTTAGTAAATCTGTGTGGCTCGGTAATCCCAGCGAACCAACTCCACCACCACCTCCCATCATAACAAGGAAATAATCAAATTACAATTTTGTTCGTGACTTAGCACACAAATGTGATTTAGTATTAGAATTAAAAAAAAACGCGGCATGCTAAACTTGATTTTTTTTTTTAATTACTCAATTTTGTGAACGATTCGATCTATTTTTGCGCGGAATTGGTTTTGATAGTCCTGATATCAATTGGTGTTTCACATGATGATGATCCTTTAGACGTCACATATCCGTAAACAATTGTGATAGCTGTTCTCTTTTTTATTTTATATACGTATCTATGTAAATTATTAATTACGAATTATTATTGCTCAAATACTTATTATTATTTTTTTAAAGAGATTTTTTTACATTGATATTTTTTACAATCGATTCCTTAACGTGATATTTTTCTCTCTGTCTCTCTCTCTCTCTCTCTCTCTTCTCTCTCTCTTTCTCTTTCTCTCTCTTAAATTTACGAAAACGCTGTGTCATTGTGTGTAGCGCATTTTTTTTGTTGAGTATATTTTTGAAAGTTATTGAACATTATATGTTCGATTCTCCATTTCTTTATATTTACGAAATATTATTTATATTAATGTATCGAGATAATGTCTATATCGCACAACAAGGCTATGTAATATCATAAAATTCATAAACTTATATAAGCGAAGTACATTTTTATATCATTTTTTGTAAATACAGATTCACGGTACTTACGGATATTACAAATAAAATGTGTTTAAGTTAACAGAAGATATTTTTTTCCATACACACTATTGTATATTAAATAATTCAGCGTTAATAAAGAAATATGATGCATGTATGAATTCATTAATAAGCGAAACGTGAATATTTTCTTTTTATACGATATGTCATTTTTTATTGCCATATTTAAAATGAGTTCCGCACACTCCAGCTTTGTACATGAAATTTGCAATAAATCATGATACAGTTTCACAAAAAAAACGAATATTCATGCGGAATTCTTTGACACATTCAGATTGGTTTTTCATTGTGTCGTATAAAAAATTACGCAAAAAATTCACGCGAGAATTTTACTCTCACGTGGAAGACGATTTACAATTCGCAGATTGGTAACTGACGTGTCACTGCAGCACGCGCTCAATCAATATCCAAAACTCTGATGACTAACATAAGCGAACCAGTGAGAAAAAGTCTCTTAGACGTGATACAATATAATTTTCGCGCCGCGGGTTTGGTAAACGATTATGAAAAATTTTGCAAATATATAATTTATATCAAAATTATAACTATAATTTACCTATATAAAAAAAGATTAATAAAATATAAATAATAATAAAATAGAGAATAACAGATACCTAACAGAAATTACATATCACAGTTTATTGTCAAGTTGCTCTTACGTGTAACAAATATACGTTGTCGTTTTTAGAAAAGTTACGTTACTCGAGTTATTTACTTTGGAAAATATCACGGAATTCAGGAAGTTGTGCGAAAGGTAAGAGTTGCCGTAAATCAGAGATACGTCGGTGTCTTTTAACTTGGGGCGCTTCGTATAACGATATATTATACTTTAGAAGACGTTAGGTGATATTCTATGTTGGAGAGCGAGCGAAACTCGATAACTTTCGTATCTATAGGTTACACGCAGAAAACTGGCATCAAGAATAATATTTATTTTCCTTTCAAAAGATTTATCAATCATAATTATAAGAGATTTACGTCTTTCGTAATTATATATTATTTAATTTGTATTTTGCGCAGAGAATGGAAGATATTATACGCGAGTTACACATGGATTACAGCGACATGCTTATCACGGGATTATTTCTCGTTTATCCAACATGTTACATCCACGTTCTAGAGGTATTGAATACACAAGTACAAAATATCAACGCATTAATTATCAATTAAAAAAAAAAAAACCTTAACACAGTTTTATAATCTTTTTCGCCGTTAAAACCACACGCTCATTCGTTTTATTTAATTTATTATTCATCCTTTTTATTGTAAAGCGTAAAATGTAAATATCGAGATATAAGTTCGTTCTCTCTCCCGAGACAGGCTTGGGAAGATATTATTTATAAACACTACAAGCTTATGTACACCACCGAGGGCGATGAATATAAATTTGGAGAAGCGATTCCTTTGCCCCCGTATCATCACGTTCATCAAGTCCGGTGACCTTATATATACGCATACATCTACATATAAATGTTTGTACATATATATATACATATATGTATGTGTGTATATATGCGCACCTCGCGCACACATTTTCCAGAGATTTTTCACAAACTGGTGTCACGCGTACACGACACCGCCCAACTTGATAGCGACGTTGGAAAACAAGACAGTGGACGAAATTCTGAGACAAATGGCAAATTGTATGATGAAGGTGTACACACTGTGCGAATACATAGGGGACACGGTGCGCGAAAAGGTTCGCGATTTCGCCCTTCAGAAAAATCAAAAAAGAAACACAGAGAACTCGGCTGACGTTCTCAGATAGAGCTTTAATGAAGCTTCAAAAGAATTGTTTGAAGGATTTCTGATATATCAAATAAAAGCCGAGAACTTTTCCATTTTATTTTCTGACGCAGCTTTATTCGATTTTACAGTCGATGGACGTTCAAGGCGTGTTGCAGAACTTGGAAGACAAGGCGGCCCGATATCTGCCTGAAAACACCGTTCTCGAGTTTCTCTTGAGCGTGAGGTCGCCCATCCTTAAAACTGTCGAGGAAAATTTACTGATGTATTCCGACACGTCGCCGAGCGAATTTTGGGATGGTAAAAAAAAAAAAAATTTTACAAATAAATTCGATGACTTTTCAATTTTCGATTATCTTGCCGTAAACAATTATACGCAATGCGATAGTAGAGTCGTCAAATATAAAAAAAAAAAAAAAAACGAAGATAAAATCGATAAATCGTCGCTAACAAACATTGGTTTTCGCGAAACATCGAGGGAGATAGGAGGGAATTGAATAAATATCGCACCGCGTGAATAAAAACGATTATTTATTTCAGAATATTTACAATATCAAAAAAACATTTTTGTATGAGGGTATATGAGACTCGTGTGTGTCGGAGACTGTCCTAAACTAAGTACAATACATATACAAACTTCAATGTTGTCTCGCGCAAGCGGCGGCTGGTCAGATTCGGTCTCGTTATCACGATATACAGGCAGTAAATGCGCACAAGAACGGATTCTGCGTACGCATATCTCCGTTCTTTAAAAAAATGATATCCTCTCTCTTGTGTGATGTGTATCGTACTTTCGAACGATATACTATGTATATATATATATATATATGTATATATATATATAGAATTACAGGAGGCAGTGGTGCGACCGACGCCGCATTCAGTCGAAATATATTGCATCTTCGTTTCAATTAATTATCTTGTCTCGCGATCTCTCTCGATCGAGAAATCGTCTTTCGATACTGACTGACGAGTGCTTATTGATTGATTATTTTACAGATAACAATGTCTGGCCACCGCCCTGCGATATTGTACCTCGCGATGCGTTCGACGAGCACGGCCGTCGAAAGATTTCGGATTACAGCGAACTGAAATGAACGTGCTCTCTCTCTCTCTCTCTTTCGACAAGAAAAAACGCGACAACAAAACGAGATTGTGGATTTCTTTTTTGCTGTGTTGCTTTTTGGTTTTTTTGTTGGAAAGAATCTATAATTGTTTATTTTAAGTTTAGCTTACATCGTGATTGTATATTATAGTGCGCCTATAGTGATCACACACACGAATAAACAATAGAAACTTTTGGCAGTTAAAATCTTCAGGTTTTTTCTTGGTTTTTTTTCTTTTTTTTTTTTTTTTATTGTACGATTCGTTCTCGCGCGAACGAACATGTGATCTCTAATCGGATCGTAGAATAATAATCTTTTTTCTCTTGTTCCTCTGCTGTATACAGTTACAATCTTTACGTGTGCAAAAGTTATAACAAGAAGAGAAGGTTTTTTTCAGGGTAGGGGGGGTGAGGAGGAGGAGGATAAATGCGTAATCGGCGGCGTTTCAACGATTATTATAAATTCTCTTCGACAAGGTACATTCACAATGTTCCGACATCAATTCCATTAATGGCAATGATAATAGTAATAATAATAATAATCATAATCATAATAATAATCAACGATTTTTATCTCAGATTTTTGTTTTTGTAATAATAGTCAGATCTCCCTCAAAAGTTTTTGTTTGTAAACGTAGACGACGTCTAAGCGAGGATACAATCTTCTTGTTGCGTTCGCCTAGAAAATTCGCGAGACATTTACGTGATTTTACGTGAAAGGGCGCACGACTTCGCGCCCTCTTCTATAAATTCTTTTACACATCGAGTAATTCGCTAAGTATCTCCGATTGTCCGTCATTCTCTTTACAACGGACAGAAAGGCGGACGCGTGTGCTTTGTTTGTTGTGCAGTATATATATATATATATATATATGTAATATGTATATATATATACAACGTCTTTTCTGTGCATACGTTCGTTTGTGTAACAGACTGCAACGCGACTGCAAACAGTCACAACCTACATTCTCCACGTCTATGGTCAATATAGCGCAAAGTTTCGATCTGATAGACAAATACGCGACGCTGCTTGAGCGAAACTTGGGGGGATTTCATCTACGAGCTCCTCGCTCGAAGGAGAAAACCAGAAATGAAATTCTAAGTGACTTTACTTTGGAGCCAAAGAGTCCAAAAAAAAAAACAAAAAAAAAACAGAAGAAGTATCACGCCCGTTTAGCAGACACGCTTTAAAACGTTTATATTAATTTAACGACCGACGAAATGCGACAACTACGCGCGATCTTCTCCTCTGCTGCATAAACGAGCGCGTTTTTGCGCGTTCCAAATGCACGTAAAACAACTTCGTTCGAGATTTCTGCCTGTTGTTTAAAACACACTAACACCGTTATCTTGCAGTCAACAATGACGCTGCAAAATACAATATAACACTAACAATTACTTCGTCAGTAAATAAATCACAATTAGAGAGAAAGACCAGCATCAATCTTAACTTTATTAAATATTATACGCGAATATATCAAAACATATTTCACACACACTCTCTCTCTTTCTCTCTCTCTCTCTCTTTCCCTCGCATTAAGCACACAGCCATTTGGAATGAATACGTTCTATTCCTCACGTGAATCCTTGCAGTCGCAGCAGGATCGTCGCACATGCTCGGGAGGGCGTAATTCCACACCCGAAAATTCAATCTGCACAGACCGAAGTAAGTAAAGTACGGATCATCGCTTTTCGCGAAAAGGAAAGATTTATGACGCGCGTCATATATCTCAAAACGCACCGCCCAGCAGTCGCTCTCGAGGGATGAGGATAGAAACTACACACGTCCAAAATCCTTTTTGTCTTTTTACACCTTTCGTCGATCAGCGGTTCGGTGACAAACAAAATACACCTCAAATCGCTCCGATCGACAAAGAGAGGTTCTCTTATCCCAGTACGGAGGATATGGCGAGACGCCTTTTTTTTTTTTTTCGACGACTCGCATTTATTTTTTTCTGTTTATTATTTATTTATTTATTTATTTTTTAAAGCTATATGATACAAAGAGTCTAGGAGCCGGTAGCCTCTGCCGGAATAAAGTACCAACGAGAGATTCACAAGCGTCGAAACAGGCAGTAAGTTAGAAGTTGCTATCGCGATTAACGTACCACACGATTTTTTTTTTTTTTTGTTTTTTGTTTTTAAGGGGACACGCGCCCCATGTGTCTCGGGGGGGGGGAGGGCGTCCCACACGTTTTCCTATAGAAGATAAAGATTCAAGACTTCGGAAAAACAACGTTCATCATACTTCGGTACATTTACTTCGAAGGAGAAGTCGTTTACTTTATACATTGTACAAGAGATACACTTAATCTTACGGGTGTGCAATCCCCCAGAATACTGCAGACTGACGAAAGCGCGATGGGAACACCTTTTTTTTTTTTTTTTTTTTGCGTCTGTTCTTTTTCCTCTTCTTCTCTTTCTTTTTTTGCCCGTCCTCGTCTCGTTATTTCGCACACTTCTCGCGATTCTCGCGCACTTCAACCCCCCCGTTTTCTCGCTCCGACTCGATTCCCACGGATGGAAATACAAACGATATGTCTCTCTGACACACAACTCCCTCTCTTCCCCGATTTCCTTACCCGCTTTCCTTTCCGATCCCGCGAGACCTTCCATTTACACGTTGTCAACGTTAGTAAATAATTACGCCGCGCGTCGTGACGCGACGATGATCATCATCATCATTTTCCGTCTTCTCCTCAGTATACGTTATTCTGGTGTGTGTGTGTGTGTGTGTGTGTGTGTGTGTGTGTGTGTGTGTGTGTGTGTGGTGACGCCTCCGCGACGATTTAACGCATATACATATTTATACATTACATCAACTAGACAAATTGTACAGTGTTGTGTGTTTTTCATAGTAAAAGTGGGAATAAATTGTTTATAATATATATATATATATATATTTATATATATATATACGCGACTTGTACAAAATATCTTCCGCGTCTCGAGGTATGTACAGGAGTGTGCGCGCACGCACACAAGTCGTAAACTCACTCTCTCTCATCGCACCGGGATGAGCTCGTCGAGATTTTCCAACGGGGCATGATCACGAAGCCACCACGCGCGAGGCGAGAAGAGCCGGGAGTGTTCGTTCTTCTTCTCGGTGTGAAAAGGGCACTTGATCCAACAGAGAGAGAGATGAAAAACTCGTGATGGTTTTGTCGGGATGAAAAAATGAAACTGTCGAAACCGGCTCGCACGCCCGGAGCGTCCCGAGCAACACGATCGTTAGAAAGACACGTTATTGGAAACCATTCCTTTCCGTTCCAAAAAAAAAAAAACGAAAGACATTTTATAATCTCGTCAAACATTAAATTAACAACAAGTGTACACGACAACGTTTCTCAAAAAACGTCTCTGATATAGAAACTCTTTTGTCTGTCCGTTAAAAAAGATGATCTTTGCACGACCTGTGAACGTTTTCGAAATTGTTTGACGTCTTTGGACTTTCGCGTTGTTCGGGGATCGCGGCTATATCTCGTGATTGACAAATGGCGTGGTTCACAGCAGCTCGCTCACGCTGCAGGTACAGGCCCCGTGGTGGGTGTAGGGTCACACGGAGCTCTCCCTCTTGGCCATCACCACCGGCGTGCCTATTGTCGCGTCTTTCTGCGGCTGAGCCACCGGACAGCACTGGCTGGGTATTCGTGTCTCGCAGTCCTTCGTCAGGAGCGTGCCGCTCGGACAGGTCGTTCTGGTGACGACACCCAGACCGGCGTACAGCATCGGAGGACTCACCGTCATCGACATCGATTGAACGCTCTGGCTGGGCCAGTGTTGCCTCGGCAAGGTGCAAACGCCACTCTCGTAGACGTCGCCCACCGCCATCGGCTGAAACTGAAGCGCGTCGCTCATATGATCTTTGAGAGCAGACTTATTATTATATAAATTAATTAATTGTTCTCTAAGTTCTGTTGTTGCACAAGTTGAGATAGTTCGGTTATTGAATTTGGTTCAAAATCGCGGATTCGTTCAATTATGTAATACAGAATAAACATATTCAATGTTAGAGCAACTGAAGTCACCATGTTATTTGGCCAAAGAGATTCTGAATAACCCAGAATATTTGAATATTGTGTTTCGCAGTTCACATTATCAAAGCTTGCAATTGGAAACTCACGCTTTTGTGCTTCGTTGACAAGTTCGAGAACTCATGGAGTGGCATGCCGTTGCGGATCGTGCAGTAACCAACATAACTGCTGTGTCCGCTGATGGAAGTCACCGTCGAGTGTTCGAGAAGACTCCTCGACGGTGACGTCTCGATCGTTGACACCAGACGTCTCTTCCTTAGATATTCCGATGGTTCGTCGCCTATGGAGAAATTTCGCTCGGGTTTTATAAGCAAAAATTTTCGCCGCGAAATTTTACGAGCGTCTAAATGCAAACGGGGAAGAACTTTTGACAAAAAACTTACAAGCACTCTAAAGGCGCTTTGTCGACAAGATTTTCTTTCAGGTTCTATAGAAAATATTCTTTCAATTCTACGGAAAATACACTCGTATTTATACCCGCAAGTTTTGTTGAAAAATTTCATTCAGTCATTCCATTAAAAAATTATATTTCAAAAGAAATAAAAGCACATACAAACTGATAATCGCATACACACACACAAATTTATAATTAAATCTGTTTAGTTTGTAAGATTTGAATATAAGTTTGAAATATTTTTACTGTAAGTTTTATATAATTTTTAAAAATAATTTTAATATATTAATATATTTTATATAATTTTCTTCTCTCGACATAATTTTACAGACACTTATTCCCGCAAGAAAATCCCGAATAATAAAAATAGAATCCAGAATAATAGACGTAGCAATTTTGCAAAAATGTTTACAAACCGGTAATCTGCTGTGGGATGATGTCCGGATTCTTCTCGTCGCTCTCGCTGAGATCGCCGCTTGTGTCCAGCTTTCTAAACGGGCTGCTCGGATGCTTCTCGTCCGCGAGCAGACTCGATCCCTCGCGGAATCGCAGCTCTCTTTGTATCGGAACGGCTTTTGTCTGCTTCGCGTGATCTTCCATTTGCGACTTGTGCTGCTCGTCCACGTGCGTGTGCTGAAGTCGTAAAATCACCATCACTATGATCGCGACGATTATGAGGGCCGTCACCACACCGATCATCACGCTCACCATCGGCGTCAGCGGAACGTGATGCCTCGGTCGCTCTGCAACGTCAATTATTGATGGGGGGACATGTTAAATTAAATGCCAATCGATTGCGCAAAGATGGAATTAAATAAACACAAGCTGTTTAATTATTTTTGTTTCCAAACAGCGCACTCCCCTCCCGTCTTCTCTGTAATAAAAACACTTTCAAGCGCTTTAGAATTCTATTACGGCCGAAGTTTTTTTAAGCGAATTTCGCGGCTCAATATATGTTACGCGGCTTAGTAGAGTGAACGTTATGAAATAATTATATCACGCATGACGTAACAAGCGCCGTTCCTAAAAGTCGATATAAAAGGTATTCGACATTGAAGTTACGCTTGACTTACTTGTGCGAATATGTTCGGTCCAAATACGCTCTAAATATTGCGCACAACAACAAAGAGCCCATTCTCTTTTAATAGAGATATACAAAGCGCGATTGTCAAGCGAGAACGGGCGGACGAATTAAAAATTACGATAACAATCGCGCGCCGAGCAAACAAAATCGCTCGATAGTATTAAATTGCTAATTCCCGACCCGATTTTCCACGCCGGTCCATAAAAGCGCCGGGAGCTTTTTGCGCGGATCACTCGCGACGAATTAATATTGAGCCGATAACTTTTCATCAATTGGCAACGGCTCTTCATAATTATCCAAACACCTCGACCTTTTCAAATTATGTTGCGTAATATCGAGAGCGCGTTGCGTAATTATCACGCCGTTCGTTTTATAACATCGTGCGATTCAGAAAGATGTTAATGAAGTTTCCAAAATCCACGCGCTTTTGTGCTTGATTTTCCCTCGATATACACGTCTACCTAACACCGCACGAACGACGACGGTGTCATCTTTGTTGTGGGCTGCGCTCAACCAGATAAGATTCACTCACCGGATTCGGACGTCAATTGTTTCTCCGGCAGCCTCAAGGTGCCTGCCTGAACCACCATCGCCTCGCTGCGACCCTTGTCGTTGTAGGCGTAAATGCAGGCCTGATAAAGGGCGCCCGACTCCAGATGAGTGACGCTGAAACGCGGCACCATCGACGTCATATTGGCACGCAACTCCTGGCTGTTGCTCTCGCGCACCTCCAGCAGGAAGGACTGCGGCAGCCCGCCGTTGAAACCCTCCGCACATCGCACCGAGAACGAATTGGTCGACGTGTTCGAGGTGGTGCAGTTGTGAACCATGTCAGGTCGACCTGTCGCGGGGAATAAGGTTTCGCATGCGTTTTAAAAAATGCTCCGCGCGCGCACGGAACTATATTCGCGGTCTCGTATAACAGTGCTCGTAATGAGCACGAAGTCCGGCGATAATATCGCGGAGAGCTTTCGCCTTTGAATTCTCCGAGTGCACTCAGCTGCGCCCTTTCGACAAATGGCGTGCCTTTGTGCGCCAGAATTATTACGATAGGTAAAAGGGATTATAAAAAAAAAAAAAAAAAAAAAAGTGATGTGAAATACCGGATAATGGGAGAGAAACGATGAAACATTTTAATGGAAAAATAAATATAAAATTGAATGTCACGTGTCTACGCGTAGTATAATATATAGACACATATACATATGTGTATACATATATTTTATATACATATATATATTGACATGGATTGAGAAAAATATATTAAAAAAAAAAAAAAAAAAAAACTGTAAAATATACATTAACAATTTGATTTTATGAGATGCAAAAGCACACGTTAAAAAACCTGACAGCCAGTTTGGTATTTTTGAACGTTTTTTTTTTTTTTTTTTTTAACAGTGAGACTCAAAGCTTTGACTCGTAATGAAATATTCGTCAATTTCTGATTTGGAGTTTTAGCCCCGACGAATCATTTGATGCTACTTTTACAATCATCGTAAATTTTTCATTTGCGTGTTTTTTTTATTTGCGCCGCGTACTGTGTGTAGTGTGTGATATCTCCTTCGCGTTGTTAAACTTTCGCGTGTCCTCTGTTTTACGCGTTTATTAAAGTGCGCTAAATTTCAAACGAAACTAATTATTTAAGTAGAGCGAGTTAACTCTTCAGCGCGTCCCGGCGCGCATTCTGGAAGTTCATTCTAACTTTCTAATGCCCCTCTTGTGAGCGCTCTTTTGTTTTTGTTTTTGTTTTTTTTTTTGTTTTTGTCAAAATGACACGGCAATCTTCCCCCTTCCCACCCCCTCCCCCACGTACACATACACACAGAGACGACGTCATGCGGCACGTCGTTTCGCGTGTGCGGGAGATTCGTGAATCAGGGCGTGATAGTTGCCTTGTAAATCCGGTTCACGGTGTGCTGGCACGTGCAAACCACTTGCAACTGAGTCGGTCTGTAAAAGATATACGGTTGTCTGGTTTTTCCCGTAAAGGTATTAGCCGGCGGTACACTTTGCGGCTCGTAAAAGCCGGCTAAAAGGGCGCGAACGAAACGGGAAATACGTGAGTGGTGGCGAAGCGGGTGTATTGCCGTCAAGGAGAGCGGGGAAAGGGAGACAATAATAGGAGGAGGAAATATAAAGAGAAAAGAAAATAAGTGAGGGAAAATATGCGGAGTTGTTCTCGCGTTTACGGTCGGTGAAAAATCATAACGCCGGACATCTGCTACCATTTCGCGCGGATGCTGCTCCCTTTACCCGTTTTATCCCGCGTCGGATTCGCTTTTTTGCGAAGACCGAAGGACAAAAGAGGAGCGCGCGCGCTCGTTGTCCCGTCTTTTACGTTTCTCTCGAACGCGCGTTCCGCGTTCTTGTATACAAGGTGCGCGTGCGGCAGCAGCAATACACGCGCGCGCTTCCTTCGTTCGCGCTATTGCAATCCGATAGTATTATACGATCCGCGAACCGCGATTAATTGGTAACCTGAGCATCGGTAACGCCGGAAACACGCCCGCACAGCCGCGGGAATAATGGCAATACCGGCGTTACGAGGAGATCTGTCAGACTCTTTTGTATTTTCTAAGTTTCGAACAAAAAGCAATAATATTAAGTTTCACCGTTACGACTTGGCTCGCAAGAAACAAAGGAATATGATAAATTCTTTTTACGTCACTTTCCCGCGCTTACGCACGCCGTTGCGCCGTTGCAAAGATTCTTTTTTAAATTACGTTTTACAATTTAAACATTTTTTAACGTTTGAACGCGACTGCAATTTGCATAAAACTAACATATATTATTATTATTATTATTATTATTATGCTAGATGACACTGGATTTTAATTAAAAGAAAAGAGAGAGAAAGAGAGAGAGAGAGAAGAGCTCTCTTTTTTAGAATTTCACATAATAGAATAATTCTAACAAAACGCGCGCGCGCGCGCGGCTACATCTTTTTAATTTTATACTAAGGTTCGAATTAGTTATTCAATTACGCAAATGTAAAACTTTGGAAAACTGAACGAACAAAATCTGAGAGATCTCAAAGATTAGCATAAAGCTGCAATTCCTGGAAGAGTTAAGGCTCTCCCAGATGAGAAGTCATTGGCGTTACTTTTATTAGTTTTGCTAATTTACGGAAAAGATGATTACGGTAAAAACAAGCAAAGGTGAAAACATAATATGAATGGTAGAAATTTAAATCTACCGAAGCACAAATATATATATATATATATATAGAATAGAGAACAGAAAAAGTGTGCATTTTGTTTTCTGTACCGAACCTCTCGTAAAAAAATTATCGTTAATTAGCGAGTTGAATTACTTATTGTTAGGTTTTTTCTCTCCAGAATTTGCATGTTTATAATTTGCATATATATAACTGTATTACGCGCGATATCGCAATGCCGTGATGATCAGTCGCGTCGATCGTAAATTCACGCCACGTATCGAGATTCTGTCGTTTCGCATTTTCGCGAATGCATCACGACACGGAATACTGAATGTTGATACTTTACCAGCCGGTATAATGTGATAGACACAGGGCACTTGTTGTTGGCCGACGTGATTCTTGGCCCAGCAGAGCAGCGTGCCGTAATCTAATTCCGACATCGGTGTGTACGAGACGATGGAGGATGTGCCAATCTTCGCGATATGACTGGGCGCGACGTCGTTACTCTCGGCCGAGTTATTGAAGGTCCATCGAAATTCCACTTCCGGTGGATTTGCATCCACTTGACAGGATATATTCGCCTTCTCTTGCTTCGCCACGCCGTGCACCTTCGTCTGATTCGGCTTGCACGTGGGAGAGACTGCGAAGAAACACGAAGGTCGAACGGTATCGATAAATTAATTGAGACAAGAGATTATCGTTTCGCACAACGCAAAACGATAGCTTCTCCTCCCTCGTCAGATGCAGCTCGTGAATCCGTTATGTTAATGCTTTCTTCCTAAACATATGAGGAATATAGTGATATTTTATTGCATTTCCATTCTTTAAATGTCGACGGACGAAATAATAAAATTAGCTTTATAGAGAATGTGTGATTGTCATATCGAAAAGTAACAGTTTTTTTTTTTCAAAAAAAAAAACACCTCTTCTGTCGCACACTCAGTAAAAAAAAATTTTTATATATCTCGATGATTCAGTCGCATATCATATTTTTTAAATATTTTCGCGAAATTACGAGAAAAGAGATGTTCTCTCTGCCAACTCATTAAAAATTTTAATATATATTTTACCGTTTAAATAATTGTATGAAATAATAAAGAAGCTAAATTTTAAACACTGGAACTCAAAGATCGCACAAAGCGCTCGTTATTACTTTTGTAATAAAATTTAAAAATTTGTTAATTTTTTACTGTTATATAATTTTGTAATCAAGTAGAATAAAAAGTCGAAAATTTTCAGATTCGCGAATTCGTTATCGTTGTACATATTTTATACATCAGATTATACTTGCGTATTATATATTGTATTTTATATTGTGCACATATATATTTGATACTACACTTACTTGTTGTAATGTTTAACTGCAAAATTTCGAATTTTTCAAATGAGAGCGCAACTTGTTCCGTAATGCGATTTTCTTTTCATATCATTTTGATTCACTCGCTCGCGCACACACACACGCACTCTCTCTTTCTTACTCTCTCTCTCTCTCTCTGTGCTCTCGAATAAATTCAAACATTGATTAACAAAACTACTGCGATCCGAAATATTTCGATATCGCGTCCGATAATCTGCGCGCGCGCGTAAACGGGCAAACACAACCGGACATATACCCGGCTTCCACACGCCAATTCACGAGGGACATCCGTTTGGGGAACGTAAGCCCAGAATTAAAATTTCACAGCGGGAATTCACGGAAATATATCGAATCTTTGCGCGTTATAATCCTTTATTAATTAAAGCCGACCGAATGGAACGCGTTTCTGTTGTTCGATTGAAATGGCTGTTCCACTTGACGTTCGTAATAAACAAATGTTCAGGATCATCGCCGAAAGAGGTTTTCCATCGATCGATGACTTTAAATGATTCACTATAGTAGCAATCCGCGAGAATCCGTTTTATTGTGTGCTCCACAAAAAAAAAAAAAAAAAAAAAAAAGAGAACTCGAAAAGTAGCGAATAATGTTTCTCTTTTTTGTTTAAATTGTCGACGTAATCTATCGCGCGATGAATAATTCATACGTTCGATTCTCTCTCTGGCGTTAAATCTTCTCTCTCGTACACACGAACGAACGCACTTTCACCGATACGGTCCGGTCTGTTTCTGGCTACGTTACAGTTACTGCTCGCGCACGCAGCGCGAATACGTACACATCACGTCGAGGTAAAAGGGCAAGCTCTCGCCGTCGCCCTCGGTGTTGTATCCCACGCACGTGTAATTCCCGGCGTTTTTGCGATCGACCTTCTGCAGCACCAGGCTCTGATTGCTGATTATAATGCCCTGCGTAGCGTTGTGATGGAGCGTCTTACCCTGAACAAAAAAAATACGGTAATTGGCGTCCAGCAGATTGGAGCCGCCGGCGTCGCTGTACAAATAAACGCGCGATTATGGGGATTGTTTCCTGTGTATACAGACGCGCGCCGTGTTCGAACGAAAATCTCGCCGTGCACAATCTTGTTCGTCGGAAGAACGAGACGATGAAGAGAAGAGGGTTGCGCACTCGCGGCGCAAGTTGTTATAAAAGTTTGATGCCTCGAGAGCGCGTCGAAGTTTGTATTCGATCTTAACGTGTATATAAGTCGATGCTCCCGCGCGAGTACAGGCATAATCGAGCTTGTTAGCCGGCGAGAGACCAATCTGTTTACGACACCCGGGGTTTTAGAACTTGCCGGATACTAGCGCGCGGCGGTATGGACGGAATTACTCGTGACGAACATTGTACGGCGAGAAACCGTCGTGATTGATTAATGGCAATCGCGGCGGCGACGCGAAATGGGACGACATGGGTTCGCGGCGAGTTTTCAAAGCGTCACCATGGCGGACGTTCTCGTTTTTTCGAAAAGCCCGAAACACGCGTGTCGAAAAAACTACAGTGGATCAAGTTTTTTGATTTTACTCCCCCAAATAATATATGATCGAGCGCGAAAGTAAGTTTGATTAAATTCGAAGCCCGTTCTTGACAAGTTAAATCTCTCGTGTATGTATGTGTGTGTGTGTAAGCACACAACTTTGCTGTTTGGGGAAAGTAACTTCGAAATGGAATAAAACATATTAGATTATTTGTAATCTTATTCCGAATAACAATTGCGAAGTTTCGTTCTCACCTGATGACGCCACTCAACCTTGTAAACCATCGGTTCCGCCTGGATGAGGCAGTCGAAGTAGACGTCCGTGCCCTCGCGTATGTTGTTCGGATTCAGGGACGTGCCGAGGCGGATCTGCGTCTCCGGCGTGTCTGCGAATCACGACCTTCGATAAACCGTCAAAATCGACCGGATTTCCAGCGTCTGAATAAATAAGGAAAGAGAGAGCCGTTCGCCCCGGGGAGAACGAAAGCCGGAGCTTCGCGCATCTCTCGTCGTTTATGAGCTTACATTGTATCTGGAGAACCCAGTCGTCCTCTATCGGCGCGGTTCCCATGATTCGATTTTCAGCTTGACACGACAAGTGTCTGCCGGCGTCCTCTTTCGTCGCCATGAAAGATAAAACGCTGGTGGTCGTGTTCCCATCGTCGGAGGTCTGTAACAACATTATGATAACGTTCGCCGGGTTCCATCTTCCCCCTGAGTACAACGCGCATTTTATTCTCTTTCCTCCTCATCGAAACGGCCGCAAGCCTATACCCATCCTGTTTCACGATAGCGCTGACGTTCACCCCTGATATATTAAAAGCGTATCTATCACCTACAGACCCGGAGGGTTCGACACGCTAACTACAGTCGAAATTTCCGATCAATCTCTCGTTACCTTCGCCAGGGATCGGGCCTATTTTCTAACAATGAACTGGGGGGCTTTTATCTTTCAGGGATCGGACCGCCATTACGTTTCGGTGTTTCATTGAATTATTCAATATACGCGTCTGAATAATCTTCCACAGCTTAGACGAGTTAATAAAAAATATTCGATAGAAAATTTATAACAGGATATTTATATGATAAGGTATTATACAAAACATTATTATAAGTATTATAATTATAATTCTTATAATAATTTATATAAGATATTATTTTGTATTTTTCTCTCATCCACAGGTTGTATTAACTCTGTATATTTGTGTTATATTTTCCTCGTCTAACACCTGTATTAAAAATACATTTGTCACACATACTCTTTATTTATCACTCTCCTCTCTTCCGCAGCAACTTTATACACGTGACGTGAAATTTCTTTAAAATTGTATAGACAATGTAGAAATAAATACAAACGTTTCGTAAAAAAAAGTGTGCGTAAAACTAAAAACAATTACTTCTTCGGTAAAACGCACGTTCATTGAGTGAGTTTACGCAAACGAATTTCAAAAAATCATCTCTTGATAATAATATGCTGAGTAAAAAGTCCTTTATATTTACTAGAGATTTTGAAGAAAAAACTTTTTTTTAAGTTTGATATTTTTTTTAAAATAAATTAAGTAAGTTTGCTGACAGAAAAATAGGAGAAATTCTGTCGACACGAAATATATTTATATACATGCAGACGCATAAAACAAACTCACAATTCAATTGAAAACCTTTAGCTATGCGCTGAAAGTCGCTCTTCGGAGCTCATTCAAGCCGAAGACGCCTCTGAGAAAGATCAGACTTATGTCTCTGTGGCAGGTCGCACGCCCGAGAGGAACTTCCGATTCGATTTACACCGTCAGGGCGCGCACTCGACGTAATTTGCAAGCTCGACCTCGCTCGCAGCTCTCGCGCAGCTCCTTAAAGCGACCGTAAAATAAGGTTCCCGCGCGCGCACGTGCGCGTTTCAAGTCGCGCTGTGGTGGTGCGTGAATTATCGTTATCACGGGACCGTTGCTCTCTCCCTTCCTCGTCGGTTCCCACGCAAAAACCTTCCGGTAAAAGCGTCGTTAGACGCTTAATAAATAATTTAAATCAGCGTACGGTGGCGATCCCACGAATTTCGCTTTTGCAATTAAGGAGCAATCGATACCTTAACGAACGCCCGATATTCGTCGATTGGCCGGTTAACTGCTTTCTCCTTCTAACTCTCGATTGATAGAATACGGTCGTCGAAAATTTATTTCCGTCTGTCCGGTACAGTGGAACTGTTTGCCGGATGCGAGTGTAAGTGCGAGTGTGTGTGTATGTGTGTGTGTGTGTGTGCGGGTACGTGGACAAAAACTCGACAGAACCACCTTTTCGGTAAATCAGTTATTTGCCAGTTAGCGCCCGGTAAATAGCAGTTCGTCGATTGATAGCGATGCCACGGACGAGTAAATACCACGTGTCACGGAGGAAAAGTACGAACTCGTTTTTTTTTTTTTTTTTTTTTTTTTCGGTGCCGATTTTGATCGCAGAACAAACAGGAAAATAACACGGGTGACGTTTTATTTTTATAACGATCGTGTACGGAGAGTATGAATTTAAAAACACTCCGTGTGGGAATAATTCTTCTTCTTCTTTTTTTTTTCTCGTTATTGTCTGATTAAATACTTTGAGTACTTTTTTAATAAAGAAAATTCACGTTACAATGTGTCTTTAATAACGTTAAAAGCGCAAATTTAATTTTACATTCCGCGAAACATTCTCCAGTTTCGGCTACAAAATTAGCATTTTACATTTCCAAAAGTACCAAGTAATTAATTTAATTTTAAAGCTAAATAAAGTAAATACAGAATAAAATGAATTCGTCAGAATTACTTCGTATGGGCGGTAATTATTTTTTCAACTTTATCGCAAATCACAAAAGAGCAAAAGGATGAAAAATTCGCTTGTATCTCTCTCTTTCTCTCTCTTTATTGCGCTACCGTACATCATGCCGAAATCATATGTAATTTACAAGTTGTACCGCTATCGGTATTCAAAAAGTTACATTCATAACTTGTAAAAAATTAAGTTTATGCACTGCTGAACAATAAATGTAACACGTAATACCGTTTTACACGTTTCATGAATTAAATATCCGAACTTCTGCGAAATTCCGCACTCGTTCCAATGGACCCGCAGCCTCGGGGATTACACTCTTCGTATAAAAAGGAAATTACGCGCAACGTTCCGCAACCAGAAAAATGCATCGCCCTCATTATTCACCCCACCTGAACCGAATAAAGCAAAATGTATTCCGTAAATCCTCAAAATATCCCGCACGCTTTTTATTTTTTTTTCCTTTTCGCGGTTTTTTTTTTGTTTTTTTTTTCATATTTTCCATAGAGCTTGAAAAAGGGCACGAGCGCGGGCACGCACAGCCGTTCCGGGCCTTCAATCTCGCGCGATGCGGGACGCGGCGGTTCCTGTCGCGCGATTAAAAAATAATCGGGAGACGAACCCGCGTGCGGGTCTGTGCGCGCAAAAATAATAAATTTCGCGTCTTGCCGGGAAAGGAATAAATCAGGGCGCGCGATGGGGTAGAGTTACGCGCTCTAATTTCGTTCCGATGGAACGAAGTCTCGCTCGTGCGCGCACGCACTCGCGGTAGCGGCGGGCCCGCGAGCGTAAAGATAATTACGAAATGAGATGCGCTATCCATTAAAAATATATTTCCCGGACGCGAGTCGGATCGATTAACGTAATTGCTGCAATACCGCGGGCGATACGCGAGTGCGGAGAAAAATAATGCCGCGCGAATCTCGTTTACGGGTTACTACAATGTACGTGTACAACGCGGGTGGCTGCGTGCATTGTATCCGCTTGCGTAATCGCGCGAAATTGAGAGAGAGAGAGAGAGAGAGAAATAGAGAGATAAAGCGAGAATTCGCTGAGGATCTGCGTGATTTCAAAAAAAAAGAAAAAAAAAGAATAATAGAAGAGTTTTATCGGTCGTAGCTCCGCGACTTGGATTATAACAATCCCCCTATCGTATTTTTCCTCTCTCAACTCGCTCTTCTGTGTTTAACTTTCTTACGTATAAGCGGCGAAACAATCTGTAGTTTCTTTCGCGTAGTGCGGAAAGAAAAACGAGAGAGAGTGCAGAGAGAGAGTATCGACTTCGAAACAATATTTTCTCTCTCCCACACGCGGGATTTTGTCCTGTACCCTTCGCGTCATCGTCGTCGTCGTCGTCGCCGTCGTCGTCGTCGTCGTCGTCGTCTTTTGCTGCCGCCGCCGACGCTACCGTCGCTCGCTTAATCCGCCGCACTCCGGTAAATATTTACGTCGTCGTCTAAGTGCGGATCAAAACGCTGCGGGATACGACGCGCGCGTCGCGCGTTGTTTGCGCGCGCGATTCGTGTGTACCGCCCCGTTGTGTTTTATCGAAGGGAATGTCGACGCAACGGGGAAAATCGAAGTAGAATAAACACCGCGCGGCAGCGATCGCGATGCTCGATTTCGCTCGACAACGGGTCAATTTATTCGAAAGTACGTTCTTTCATTTCGTCGCTAATCCGCGTTTGCATTGACGTTTGTTTGCTTTGTATACGAAATACCTTCATCCGTTTCTCGCGACAGAGAACGCCGCGGTCCGGTTAGAGCGTTCGATTTACGTTAAATCGGAATTTATTTTCGAGCCGCGCGCGCGGCCGCGCTCGGAATGAAATTGAATGAATTAATGAATTGTATCGGAACGATTGTGGAGAGAGAGAGAGAGAGAGAGAAAAAAGAAGAGAAAAAGAGAGAAAATGCAACTATGCGAGAGAGAGGATTTCACTCTCGTAGATCAAGTATTATCGCAATTGCCCCATCGAGATATTCTTTATTCGCATTGCGCAGTATAATTAGATTTATCGTTATATATTTGCGCGACGTGCTTTTTCGTTAGCGTTATTATTGATTAATACCATAACGAGAAAATGTTCCGTTGTTTTTTTTTTTTTTTTTTGTTCTTTTAATCGAAACGTACGCGAGTTTCCCCGATGTAACATTTTGTTAAGACGATTTCCGATTAATTTTACGGTCTTCTCCTTCCCGCGATGAATCGGTACGCGAAGTTTTCATCAAGAATTTGCAAATGAATTATAGCAATCAATTATAGCAAAAATACTCCGACTGTCAATAAACAACTGCGTCTCTCTCGCAAAATAGAAAACATTTAATTATCTACTAAATTCTTCTTCTCCTCTTTCTCTTATTGTTTGTGTTAATCGTGTATTATCTGTTTTCAAGTCTGAAATGTAAATATTTAATTCTGTAAATATATTGTTTAAAGTATATTTAACTCTGTAAACCTTGAAATTTATGTCCGACGCGATTTTTTATTAGTTGCAAACATTGCAAAAAGTGGAAAAAATTGACGAGGTTTTATTCGTTCTAAATTAAGGAAATAATATTAGTTTTAATATTGTTTTTCTTTAACTCTTCGTGAACTGAAACAAAACAGCCTACTATAATTGGACTGACTAGGTCTGTGAGACTCACGCGACTTTGAAATCAAACATTTCCGCGAAAAATCAATATTTTTTCAATTTTTTTTTGTTTTGAATCAAAAGTTTAAACGATTCTGCGTCGATAAAAAAAAAAAAACAAAGTGAAAAAATTTCTAGTAGTTTTGAAGATAAGCGTTTAAAAAAACTAATTTTAACTACACCGGTTTGAGATTTTCGGGTGGGTCTGGACCCATGTCGGTCCACGAAGAGTTGAAAAATATTTTATTTTCAAAAATCGCTCGAACAAGTTCAAGAGAAGATTTACATTAGGGTTGGGGTTAATATCTATGCAAAGAGAATATAAAAAAAACTTAGCATAAATAATGTGTGTGTGTACATATTCAAAAAAGTATTCAAAGCTTTACTTTTTTTTTAAGTCATTATCGCGCGTTCTCTTATCACAATGTTTACGTTTATCTCAATGTTGCGTTTAATAAGAATGTATATCGACGTTCCGGCTTAGAGTAGCTGCACTTCCCATCAATTAAACGTAATCCCTGCATCGTGCGCGCGGGTGATAGTCAATCACGTAATCGGCCGTGCCTACGTCTTTTTTTTTTCCACGTCTGTCGCTTAATCCGCGGAAATTGAACGTGGAAATTGCAATCCTACCGCGATGAAATTACAAGACACACGTCAAGCCCGACAAGTCGGAACGGATTAATCGTCGTCTTTCAACAATGCCAAAGACTAATTCAATGCCAAACTAAATAAAACGCGATTGCAATTGTTTTTTTTTTCTGTAATCATCGTTTACTTTGTAAATGTTGCGAATGCGCATTTAATTTCTTTTCATATTTTACACGTGTATTGCGCGCTGAGAAAATATCACGTGATATTTATTTTGCGCACTCGAGAAAAATCAATGAAAACTACGTCAATTACTAAGTAGTATTCAAGTAGTTACATCAGAGTATAAAGAGCCCGAGGGTTCGTTATGTTTTACCATACTTTGGGGAGTTATTCACGGCAGAGTAACGCGACACCGTCGTTACCGGAGACCGTGGAGTGTTGATGAGAGACGGCCATATTGTGCGAAGGTTATCCCCTTTATTTAAGACTGCAAGTTGGGCTTTACGCGCGGTGCGGGAATAACCCTCTTCGGGGTCCGGAGCGGTACGTTACGCGCGAGAACGAAAATTGTCCCATCGAGAGGACACACTTACGGTCTCCTTGGAATCCGCTAAGCGCTGACCGTTTCTCCACCAGGTGACGCCAGCTGGCGGTCTCGAGCCGGAAGTTGTGCAGACCAAGTTGTACCTCTTGCCCGCCGACAGCGGCTGCTTCGAGTCAATTATCCTCACTTCCAATGGGCTGACTGAAAATTTATTCAATTCCCTGGTAAAGCAACGTCCGCAGAAGAAGAATATGTGTGTGCGCAAGGAACATTAAAATTTTTTTTTGTAAAAATCGCTGTGCCGAGATCAATTTGGCGTATTACGCGAATAAAACGTGTTTAAATTTTACATTTTGTAAATTTGCAATTGTGTTTTATTTCACTTGTTTGACGATGTAAAAGTGTTTTATTTCACTTGTTTGACACAATAATATTGCTTTTTATTCATTACGCTGCAAACGTTACGAATTAAATAAAAGATTTTTGTAAAAACACGCCATTTACAGATATTTATAAAAGGTAAAAACCAATATGACACAATTCCATAAGTTTGTTCTATAAATCTCGCTGACGAGTCAAGATTTAAATTTTATATATAGAATACCAAACAAAATGAGCGATGGATTTTGACCAGAGCGGTTGTGTCAAGGAAGAACGTAGACCGGTTCAATTTATAGAAAAATTTATCGTACGAAGTTAAAAACACGTACATCCATTCTACCTGGTTGTCCATGTGAAACTAAAAATATGCTTTCGTATTCGATACAATAAGAAAAGTGTCCAGTTGACGCGCTATTGTGTGACATCTTTAAAGCACACTTGACTACAATATATTATCTCGAAAATAGTTTCAATCTAGCGAATGAATGAATGCACGTATTTTCAGTTTTATGTAATAAAGTTATTTATAAATCAAATCGTGGTTTTTTCTTTGACAGACTGTAAAAATGAATCTCGCAAATTTTCAGAAACGCCATCAATCGTTCTCGCAAATTTTTAGAAACGCCAGTGCCATGTAACAAAGAGCCGCAGCGACATTCTGTGAACACATTGTTAATGCAAAAAACATTTTGGTTTCCACATTGAGTAGAAACCGGACGTTTGGTTTTTCACATTGAGTAGAAACAGATGTACTCTTAATTTTACGTAATGAGTTTTCTATTTAATTAAATCGGTCACTTTTCTTTTTTCGACAAACTGATCTGTTTTTTTATTAAAAATACCGGGAGAATGAACGAATCTCATTTGGACGAGAAACGCTCGACCGTATAAGTGCGAATATTCGCGTCGAATTTGAAATTCTTCCGTTCTCGGTAGTCAGATGTGACGAATTTTAAGCGAGGAGTATCATAAACTCTCCCTCTTTCTCATTAATCCTCACGCGCTCACGCTCTTTTCCGCTCTCTTACTACTTTATCATGCGCCATGTATCTTGCCGCGCGATAGAGCTCAAGTACCATAACAAAGTGAATAAGTTAATTCAGAGCGAAGACAATTAATCTTGCGTCCCATCTTGCGCGCTCTTTTTCAGAATGATTCAAGTGTTTCTCTCCCCCCTCAGAAGAAGGCGACTCCGGCGGCAATGAGCGTGCGGCGATTTTTTTTTTTTTTTCAACTTGAAACACAAATCTCGCCCATGTGGCGCGTGTGTGTGAAAAAAAATAAGTAAACGCAGCCAAAACAACCAGTAACTCCGATAGCTTCCGAATAACGCAAATGACATACGTGCGGTTCTGAGACGCAGTCTGAACGTCTCGGAAGTACACGCGCTTTATCATTACGTAAGATTTTTTTTTCCGAGCGAAATAAATTTTCCGCAAGTTTCCTCTTCGCATTTCAACAAAGTATCTCCAATTTACCGCGAGCTTCCGCTTCTCTTTCCGTATATATATATATCGGTTTAAAAATTTCGCGGTAATCCCAGCGTCTAGCAAGACAAATTAAAAAAGGTCCGCAATTAATTAACCCCACTCGTTCTAACGTCCCCGCGATAACGGCACGAGTAAAATTAACCTCCCTCGGTTTCACCCTTCTCCCCTACTTTCTGGACCCGCCGACTCTCGTTTCTTCGTTACGCGCGGGTCGCTGGCCGCAAGACGCGCGCGCGCTTTCCTCCTCCGCACGCCAAATTGACATTGATAAATCCTCTTTGTTATAAAGCGATACATCATTGGCGCGCATTTGGCTCACTCACGCGAAATCGAAGTTATTTGGAAAATTGTCGCCGGCTTTGTTGTACGTTCGCGAGGAACACACTGGAAAACTACTGCTCCAAGTATCGACATTTCTTTCGATGCCGAGCGAGTGTTTTAAAAAAACCGACGTTTTTCCCAGCGCGTTTTTAATCTCGGGATTAAATATCGGTATCTTCATTATTTTCTCGTCTCGTTCGAGACGTGTTTTGACGTGCAACACTTACGTGACAAATGAAACGTGAAAATTTGATGCGGATATCGACAATAAGATTTTTCACGAGTGTCGGAAAAATTACGACGATTGTCATCGTCGAAAGTGATAATATTACACGCTGCAGCATCGGACGAGACACAAATGTCTACACGACGGTGAAATTTTGACATTTTGTCGCTAAACGACGTTTATTGATCTAATTTCTCGAAATTTTTTCGCCGAGAAACGCACGTAGATGTTTTTTTTTTCTACGTCTCCGGCTCGTCGAATCCGAGGGATAAGGAGAAAATGGAGGGGAATTGCGGATCCATTGCGTCGCGATCGGCCATACTCGTAGGTTGCACGCGACGTGACTGAGAATTTATAGACGCGCCGAGCAAGGCGATCGTCGATAAACGGCGCGAAGTGACCGCGAACGATGGTTTTGCGGACGCCGTAAGCGCCGTGCAAATCGGTAAACGTTGCTGCGTACAGAGGGCAAGAGAGAGAGAGAGAGAGAGAGAGCGAGAGAGAGAGAGAGAGAGAAAGAGAGAGGTGGTGAGGGGATGGCACCTTCGGTTATGGTATTTATAGGATCGTACATTACGGAAGTTCGTTGATTTACGGCGCGATGTGGACGGCGATAAGCGTCACGAGGGAGGGGGGCGAAGTAGGGTTGCATGGACCGAAAATATCCGTACGGAAACGATCTATCTTCGTCGTTCTTTTAAAGTAATTTGCGCACGTCCATTTACGAATCGTAATTATTCGCGTGAATGGCGTATTCCGACGTGACGTCGAAGATAGAGAGAGAGAAAGAGAGAGAAAGAGAGAGAAAGAGAGAGAGAGAAAGAGAGAGAGAGAGAGAGCGGCGAAAACTTGTCGTACTCGAATAACATCAATCGGAGCAACAGACGTATATCCGCCTCGCAATGACATTTATTAATTAAAAAGAGCGGCGTGTGCGTGTTGCGTTTCTGTGTGGCCCCGCTTTACGTCTCTCGCCGCTCATTGGACAAAATTCGGCGCATAATAAAATTAATTAAACTTGATTTCTATCTTTCCGCGTTGCCGGTCGAAATTCTAAACCCGATACTGTTCGGCAGTTTTACTTCCACTCAATAATTCAAGATCGATTATCGAATTGCGGCGCGTGCATACGCTCCATATAGCTCATTTGACCGTAATTTTGGCTTTATCACGAATTTATTGACGGATAAAGCGCATGCATCGTCGGATAAAATGAGGATTTTGGCGTTACTCCGAAAAGTTGCATATAATCGGTTTTTCGGAGAATTTATCGCATCTTGTTGTAGAAACGTCAAATTATATTCAAATGCGCGATTCGAATACGAAGAAAATTTGTTGACTTGTTGGATACACATCCATTTCTCTTCGAATTGAAATCGCTCGAGTTATCGCGCTGCTACTCTTATCAGAGTCTCGGACTCACGCCGCAAGTTATACTTGGATAGAAACACCACAAGTTTTCGATAACCCGCGGCGCGCAGCTGGGGAAGGGCGCAAATATTCCAGTTCAAGCGGAAACCTCACACAACAATGCGAGAGATTCTCAGTTCCTCTTGAAAAGTCTCTAGCTCTTATTGGGTGTGTATGCGTGTGTGTATAGGAGTTTCCTTTAACTTTTTTTCAGATTCGATTGAATGGCGATTCTCATGACAAGCGAAGTAAACGCGGCAAAAAGAAAAAAAAAAAACAGATATCGTATTCGCAAAGCGAAATAGAAATATGTATATTTCTCTCGCTGTCGCAGTCATTTTCTCTCGTAATGTGAGAAGAAAATATCTTCTTCTTTTTTTTTTTTTTTTTTTTTTATTTGAAACTCTTTTGCGCGCTTTTATTTTTGTATAAATTATTACGCTTGCGGATTACGGAGAGTAGACCGCTCGTCCCCGTGTGAATAATTCAGTCGTCGGAAAACGCGGGACCTCGTTCTTGTAATTTGGTCGGTCCCCGACACCTCGGGAGCGCCTTCAATCCCGAGAGAAAGAAACTCGCTTAATCGCGCGCCGCGACCGCCGTAGCTACCGCGCGTAGACAGCTCGATTGCCGGAGTAATATTTCAGGCATTCTAACCCGTCGCCACCGGCAATAAGGCCGTCTTACCCTCGCCGTCGCCGCCGCCGCCGCCGCCGCCACCTTCCCCAATTTCCACTCCCTGAATTACGGCTTGGGACTAATTTACATGACTTGCACCGAACTAATTCGAGCGGCGGTCGATAGCGCTGACTAAAGGGGTTAAAACGACGTTTACTTTATTACGTAATCACGGAGAAACCTAATATTGACAAAGGCGCGACGACGACGGTGGTGAAGGCGCGGCGATAGACGAAGCGGTGGTGGTGGTGGTGGTGATGTAGTTCGGGACGCCTTACCGATCCTCTCGTTTTCCCGCTACAAAGAGCCGGGGCTACCGACCCCGACGGGGTCTCCGTTGTGATGCCGCGAGTCTTTGCGTCGCACAGTTTGTTACTTACGATTTGCAATTCCGCCGGTGTTTGAGTTTACGGGATTGAGATTTATGGACTCGCAATCGTGGAGAGGGAGAGGCCTCGAGAGGTCGAGGCCTCGGCTCGGCCCGGGGCCTCGAGTCGACACGCGTGGTTGTACGTGCGCGCGTATACTCCAGCGTGAGAAGCGTCTCGTTTGCATCTTAATCAAGTGGCAGTTTCATTAGCGATAAGTCTCTGGCGTGCTTGCCTAATTAATGCAACCGTAATGTCGCCGCGACGTTTAACCCTTTGAAGCATGTGACGACGTTATATATCACACCGTCGTCTTTCTGATGTTTC